TGAGGAGTGGAAGTAGGACTTAGGATATTTTTCTCCTTTTTTTAAGTGTTAGCCTTGATAATAAATGCTGTCATTGTTGCTAAATAGTTGGTTATTTAATAATCTCATACGTGTGTGTTGTTTCATCAGATTTGGCCGCAGTCGCAAAGTCTCCTTGCTTCTAGCGACTTAGGAGACTCCTTATGCTTGTCAGTGTTGCAAGGTATCACGGATAAGCCGTGTTTTATGCTGTTTTCAGTAGGAGCACCAGAGCAGGAATCGAATACTCAATCTGTATATATGACCATCATCGTTTTTATAAAAAATTTTGCCCTTTTCATATACACTACCGTTTGTCATAGTACTTATTGCCTATGATAGTTGAATCGATAAGATTTATTAATATCCATTTCCGCTGAATCGAGATGAACTGCGGATAGCATAATTAGAATTATCCATGCCACCTGGGTTGTATGTAAGCAGATAAGATGACGCGAAATTGTGCGTCATAGCACAAGCCTTTGACTGGAAATGATATTTTGTATTTTTTTATGTCGCTCTACGGATAAAAGAATTAGATCTACCGTTAGTATTAATTTCTGAAGAAAGCATTCAAGATGACTAGTGATGATGCCTGAAAATAGAAATAAAATAACCTTTTGCAGCAGTTGAATGGTCATACCTGGAAACCTGGCGTATCGAGCTTGTCAGCAATTTTGCATTTGTCTTCATATTTTTGAACGAAAGTGACATTTTTTATTTATGATTTTCTCATCGGTCCACATTGAAAGTTTTCTGATTCACAGTTCCTTGTACAGTTTAATTTACTAAGTTAGGAGTATGAAAATAATGCTGTTGGTATTCATGATTTGCTCGTAATCAGTAACGGAATATTCATGGACAGTCACCTTTGAATTAGGCAGCTTCTTCACGCGCTGACTTATGGGTACTCTCCTTTTTTTGAGACATATTTGTAAGATTTCCTTGAGGTATTTGATTGCTGATCGGCACTTCCACCATTTCTATGCGTTCGACAACGACATCTTGCATGGCCGTACCTTCTCTGCCGGTTGATGGCGATCGGCGATGGCGTCGCTGTTTGAAGAGGTTCGTAAGCTTTACTGGCTTGCGTGGCCTCCAGCGGGTTCGTCGGACCTTTCGGCATTTATGAGCTTTTGGCCGTTGTCGTCGTTCGAAGCCGTAGAAATGCAGAACGTCATGATACACTTCGTTACGGCTTGATTCCAGTGACGGATCGTTGAGCATCGCTCGGTTCTTCGCCTGCTGTTCCGGTGTCAGGCTGCTAACGTCTTGTTTATACCAGCTTTGACATGCAGCATACGTCAACAACAGGTTGAAGTCACCTATGGCATTTTGCTCTTCGTCCTGCATGTCTGCCAGCTGCATGTTCAGCGTTTCCAGACGAAACCTATTGTATACGGCTGAGCCGCAACACGTGACGACCGTAACGATGCCTAACACGGAGCAGGCGACTATCAACGCTGTAGTCGACGTTCCTTGGCACGTGGTACTGCCGACGATTGTGCTGCAATTCATAATAGGTTGCCTACAGGTTTTTAGTCAGAAAGTTTTCTACCCAGTCACGCAGTACCTGTGATATACATCGTTTCAGTTTAAATCCGTTACTCATCTGCTTTAAACTTTTATTTTAAACTTCTTGGATTACACTGTTCCATTTTTTCGGTGGCTGACACATCGTTCGATCTCCCCGAAGCAAATGTGCTCATCCAGATTTCAGCTCATGGCGGTTCCAGGAGACAAGAAGCTCAGCGGCTTGGACGAATTCTTAGGCCCAAAAAGGGCTCATCGGACCAGTTCAACGCCTTCTTCTATTCCTTGGTGTCCCAAGATACGATCGAAATGAGTTACAGTCGTCGACGTCAGAAGTTTTTGATCAATCAGGGATACAGTTACAAGGTAGATTCGACGTATGGACACGTGTCAGTGCTAATCGTACAGTTCAGGTGATCACGAAACTGGTTGGCATGGATGCCAAAAATTTGTCGTTTGCCACGAAGGAAGAGAAGGTAGAGCTCCTTCAGCAGGTTTTGACTGCCTCTGATGCAGATATCGAAGAAGAAGAGGGGGACGAGCTTAAAGATGAATATTTGGACAGCTGGAAATCTCAACCGAAGGTGATTCGTTGTTCGCAGTGCGATGAATATTCTAATGTGTCTCCTTATAGTTTGTACGCAAAGAGGGCAGCATGAGCTCTCTGTCCGGTGTTCACAGCTTGGTCTACGCCCAAGCGGATAAGTCAAAAGCCTCTTGGAAGGAAAGACATCCGTTGTTCAAACGTTTCAGAAGATGATGACAAATGATCGTTTGCATTTGCCTCAGACAAGCCTTTTAATTCAAAGAAAATAATCTTCATAAGCTTCAAAAATATCTAGGCTCTTCGAACCGTCGATAGTTACCCGAATTGTAAAATTGGCGGCTGCCACGCCGTTTTTGTCGTCGCTTGCCGCCACGCATTATTGTACATCCAAAAACCAGATCTTGCCGAGATATATTCGCCTGCATCTTCTTCCTATTCCCAGTGAATGACTCTTCAAACAGAAGTTGACGAATGATACTCGTCAAGCACTGTTTCATCTGCAGATGCTTCTTCATGTTCAAAGGAAAGACCTCCTGGTCAGGTGCTCTGTTGGCGTGCTGCTGCTGCGGTAAAAGTTAGCTCACTCCTCTAGTACATCCGCCGTTGGTAGTAGCGGTGCGAGACGAGCCTTCGTTAGCAACGTCTGAAGTGTGATGACTGGGAACAACCGGTAACATTAGCTTATTGTTGACAACGGTCAGCAGTTGGCGAGCTGAAGCACTGTTGGTGGTTGGACAGGACGATTCCAAATGGTTAACAAAACACTTGCCAAAACCAGCAATATTTGTCATCGGCGTCGCTGTAACTGGCTGCTCTGATACCCATTCAATGGAAACCTTCGCTTCAAGTGCTTGCTCTGCAGGGGTTG